CCAATGAACAAAATTAAAATAGTCCAAACTACAGTAGTAATGTTTGACAAGCAAAAAGCTCCAAATCTAGGACAAACAAAAGGGACAAAGACAGTGAAACATAAATAGTTGACTGCATACTCCATTCGGTTTCACAAGTTTCTCTCTCAATTCAACAGTTATTAGTTTCTTGAGTAAAAAATATTCATCCAATTACAGACATTCCAAATGAACGTATAAATTAAGTTGGAAGGCATGAACTAATAAAGATACCCCTAAAACATGTTCACAACATCCAAATGAAAGTATAAAGTTGGATGGCATGAACTAATAAATATACCCCTAAAACATGTTCACAACAAGCAAATCTGAATCTAATAAATTTACTAATTTTGATAAAACTTCAAAATGCTCATGTTATATGTTCTGTTTCTTTGCTTTAGATCTTTGCTCTCTGTTATGGATGCTCATGTTATGGTTGCTGTTTCTCTGCTTTAGATCATTCCATACTATTAGCATGATATTTAATGAATGTAATAAAGCTTTTGTATACAGGAAATTGGCTCTAATTCTATAAAATGGTCAAGAATATTTTAATCTTACTCTATGTCGACTTCAGAACAAGCATTAGAAACATTGAGCTTTCACTCTTTAAATTTTAAAACAAACCCAAATCAGAGAAAGAACAAAACAACCGTAGATCCCTGGCCCATGCTTAACATCCCTTTAATAACCTGAACAACTCTGTGCCACTGTTGTTCCTTCTCAAGAGCAACCAAGGCCTGCTTAAGTGATGCGACAGAAAAGTTTTCATGCAACCGAAGCATCAAGACAACCGTAAACAGCTTTTTTACTATCCCTGAGGTCGAGAAGTGTGCTTACAAGAAAACTGATCTTATCCTTTCTTCAAATATTCACCTCAATTTGATGCTTCCTTAAACTTTAGGCTTTTTGCTCTGGATACCTTTCCATTATTTCATTCTTGGGTTGACCCTCAAATCATAAGTTGAGTTGCTTTATTCTGTTAGTGGGAAGGGGGAGAGGAATGTTTATGTTCTTTTGACTTAATATTTCTATGATGCTGGCAACACATACAATTGGCTAATTATAATTCTTGCTTTTGCAGGATATCAAGGTTATGGATGGTAGTCCCAAAAGAAAGATGCACGCTATGAATCTTACGAATCAAAAGATGATAGTTGTCTGATAGTGTTATATTGTAGCTTTAGCTTTAATCCAAACCGAAAGAAACATGATTTGGTTCTAAATATTAAACCCGAAATAGATGATTGTGCTAACGGCATCTGGGGAAGTGGAGTATGAAAATAAAAAGTGGAAACTCTTAAAACTATTCGTTAACGCCCCATTGTGTTCATGTGCCCACTAAGGCATCCATGATCCCCATTGTTTGTTTGTTCTGAACTTTTGGTAATCCCTAAGATGAGTGTTTGCTTTTATTAAGCTTTATATCTTTGATGAGGAGATCATTGAGACTTGAGCCTTAACCTGTCCACATATGGGCACTTTCTTTGATGTTTGGTGATGATTATTCTTTAAGTTTGATTTATGAGTTTAATTAGAGTCTTCTGGTTCTTTACCTTTATTGCCTATTCTTAGAGGTAATATGTTGTGAATTAATAAACAGGATGTCTGGCAAGGGACTCAGAATCTGGCTATTGATGTTACTGCTGGCGTAGGGTTGCTTAGGTGGGCATTGCTTGGAGATGATTTAACAGAGAAAGAAAAACAGGCTCTCCGGCAAACTCTCACAACTGACTTAGCATCTGTCAGTTGGGAACATTAGTTTATTACTGCCAAAGAAGCGGTAAAATAGTAGACAAGAAGATTTTATTCATGGAAGTTCCAATTTAGTCTTGTGCCAATCTATTAATAAAATATTTGAGTCTCCTTGATCAAGGAAAACATTATCTATATTTTACAGTCTCTTCACCATTGATCATTATGACTTAATCTGAAGGATACCCTTTCTGCCACGAGTTGATCATGCAGCCATATTGGCTGCTATTCAGAGATATGTGCCAGCTTTGGTATGTGTTTTCGCCCTAGTGTAGCTCTTTTTTGTTGAAATTTTTCTTCAGACATCAAGTCCAAACATATCACAAGCCAACTGTGTTGTTTGTACAGATACCTTCCAACGTATGGACCAGAAAGGTTGGACCTCTTGAGGCAGCTTTGAGAAAGTTAAGGAAATGGAAACAAACCAGTGAAGTGGACCCTGATGAAAATGTGGGTGACCTAGCCTGATTAGAACCGGGAGAGTAGCACAATTCATTGTTGATTGTATTTACTTTTCCCTTTCCTGAAAATAGATGCCCCTGAAGACACAACATGCCATTATTTTCTCTTAACTTGAGTAGTCTAGCCAAGTTTATAGAATAGTAGAAGAAAATTTATGTGAGGAAAGTAACAGTTCATACATCTTTTTAAGTTTTATCTTCGTTCCATCAATGGCCATCGTGGAAAATCAAGGCATCTACTCCAATCCATTTTTTTGGAAAAACCTGTGTAGCTCATCGACCCTGACGGTCCTTCGAACTTCCTGCAACCGATGACGACTAGGAAAGGTACTCTATAATATTCAACAGTCATGTTATAATGGTGAAAAAGCAGAGAAATTAGAAATATATGTATGCATTTGGTCATTGATAACCAGACTAATAAGATATCTCAATTCTCAGCCAGCCAACAACTCATGAATTCATTGCCTTACAAAACTCTATATCAAACGGAGCCCAAGTTTTTTTTTGAATAAAAAGAAATTTCAAATTATAACATGTGACAGTGTGGTTTATAGATTATAAATTTCAAATGATTATGGTTTTCTAAAGTTTTTAATCTGAAAACAGTTTTTAAGTTTTATATCAGACAACTCATGAATTCATTGGCTTCAAAATTCAAATTTAATGTGGACTTGTCTCTATGAAAATACCAGATCACTCTTTAAATTAAGTGCGTAGTTGGGATTGTTGCTAAGACTTAGCTTTAGTTTGGGCTTTTTGCTTCTATAGTCATTTATTTTTTAATTTATAATTAATATGAAAAGTGATTATACAACAATATGATAACGAAATAATCACTAATGAAAAAAAAAAAAAAAACTGATTATGAAATGTTATTTTTTTATAAAATAAATATAGTATTAATTTCTGGAAAACTGAAAACTGGCTGCTTTGGGGTAATCGGTAGATTCATTGGGTAGATTGATAGCCGATCTGGGCAACAAAACAGGTTGCCCTCCGGTCTGGATTTTAAAACAATGGTTCCAATTTTTGTATCTCCCATAGAATAAATTTTCCAAGCCAACTGTTTTACATTACGAGCCATAAAACATATTGAGGACATCAGAAGTTGAAAGTTCACAAATAATATGAGAGAGAGAGAGAATCATTCATTCACATTTCACCCAAATGTTCCTAATAACAAGATTTAATAATGAAGAATTAAGGAAGATCACTTTAAAAGCACCAACTGAGTAAAGCTAAAATTAAACAACTATTAAAATTATCTAAAACCCAATTGACCAAAACGTAGAGCTCCAATTTCACCATAATTATCCAGCTCTATATCAAACATTTCTATATTGTTTATCAATTCAGTCTCTAGGGTTCGCATTCACTAAATTAAGGTATTATTGTAAGGCGTTTGGGATTAAAATAGTATTTTTAACATAAGACTAGTTAGGGCGTATAACCTAACCTATAAATTAAAAACACATTAAACACAGGAAGACTCGAAATCAAGAACAAAGACGCATCTGTCAGGGCGTATGCATAGACACTAATTATTCAAGAAATCATGAACCAACTAATATTTTGTCAGGGCGTATGCATAAAATACTAATCTTTCATTCAATAATCTCAACACAAACAACCTACTAATTCACACTAAGTGTCCTCACACAATAATGAAAATTAAAGGCAAAATAAATACATGAATGAATCCGGATTTCTATTGAATTGATAACAATAAATATGTGTTTAAACTTAGAGCCTTCCAATTAGGCTACATTGGATCCCTAAATAAGAGTTTAGTTACACATTGACATTAAAGAAAGCAAAACTAAAATTCCCCCAAAAGCATGAATAATCCAAACCCTACGAAGAATCTCCTTCTCTTTCTTGATAAAAAAGTAACTCTCCTTTAGATCCCCAGGCCACCCTAAACTAGATTACAGTGTCCTATTTATATTTTTCCTCTGCTATGGGTGTTTTTGGAAGAGTCTAAATTCAAGTCGGAGTTAAAAAAAAATAAGGATTTTATTTGTCTCGTGATCCACGCCGCGACTTGAATTTCTAGCACCACGGTGCATAATTTTTCCACAAACATACGACCTTGTCACGCCACGACATGAACTAATTTTTGCCCAACTTTAGCTTCTCACGTCGTGGCGCGAAAAATCTATGCTACAGCGCCATCTAGCAAATTTATTTCCTTTCTTCTGTTTGACGATCCTTTGTTATTCCTTTAGCACATACAAATCCTCCAACCATCATGTGAGCATAAATTCCTCACTTTTTTTGCCTAAAAACCTGAAACTCATACACATACCCAGAAGCGGATCCATGAATTTCTTTTAGGGTGGGCCAAAATAAAAATTTATTATACATTACTATTTTTGTCCATTAATATTTTTGTTAGGGTGGGCCAAAATATATAAATTATACATATTAATATTAAAAAAAAAAAAATTTGACTGGATCCGCCACTGCACATACCCGTGATTTTTGCAAATAAAAATATGCAAAGAACTTAAATAAAAATAATCCATTAAAGTCACGAACTCCCTGCAATCTACCCATAAAATCACGAAACCACTCATCAATCATACATTCAAAGTTAGGATCTCGAATTCATATTATAAGTTATAACTCGGTTTAATTTGTGCCATTTTTTTTTTTTCCATCTTTCTTGGAGACTTTAGAATTAGGGAAAACTTAAGGGGTATTGTTGAAATTGGTCACAATTAAAACACTTCCACACATTTCTCACTGTAGAAGTGAGGTCTAACGAAGGGTTTAGCTGACAACAACAAAAACAGAACCGCTGAGAACACAAACACACAAAACAATGGCAGCAGATTCCAAACCCGATCCATCTAAAATTCGCTGCCATCACTGTGCAGGCCCTCTCTCAATGCAGGCGGTATAGATTCATTAGCTCATGTTACAACACTTTTGTTTTTATTTCATTTGCTTTGCTTTGATTTCTTTTCTCTTCAAATATTTGAATGGTTTTTGAATTGATTGCAGGAAACAAGTGAGTGGACAGTGGCTCCGTTTGTAAGGGATAGCTTTTCTATGGTAATTTTTCTTTTATATGACTTTCCGTCTTGAGTTTTCGTTTCGATTTTGTAGTTTTTTTATTCTAACGTGTTAGCGCTTAGGGTTTTATTTAATTAAGGTTCTGGAGCTTGAATCATATTTCAAAATTCTAATTTTTTTCTTTTTCTTTTATTTTTATTTTTTGTTATGTGTCATCTGTTTGAATCTGTAACTTACTTTGTGTTTCTTGAATTTTGAAAATTCGGTTTTTCTTTTTTTTTTCTTTTTGAAAATGAATTGAATTGAGGTTATGGAGAATCGGAGATGTGGTTCATCTTTATGAAATGGGTATATTCTTATATATATATTTTTTTTGAATTTGTAGTGTGTGTTCTTTGATGAAAAGTTTGACACTGAATGCTTGTGCTAGTATGCAAGATTAATGCTGTATTTGGGGGCATGAGATTAGAGTTTGGCATTCATATTAGTATAATTGGAGCCCTAATCTCTATCTTTTCCCTAAGGAGACTTATGATTTGATTTGATTCTAATTTTATGGCTCCATTTGATGATACCAATTGCTTTTTATCATGTAGGTTTTTGTTATTTTGCTTCTTATCTGTGGTTTTTGATTTTTTTTCTTTCTCTTTTGCTTTGAANGAATCATATTTCAAAATTCTAATTTTTTTCTTTTTCTTTTATTTTTATTTTTTGTTATGTGTCATCTGTTTGAATCTGTAACTTACTTTGTGTTTCTTGAATTTTGAAAATTCGGTTTTTCTTTTTTTTTTTTCTTTTTGAAAATGAATTGAATTGAGGTTATGGAGAATCGGAGATGTGGTTCATCTTTATGAAATGGGTATATTCTTATATATATATTTTTTTTGAATTTGTAGTGTGTGTTCTTTGATGAAAAGTTTGACACTGAATGCTTGTGCTAGTATGCAAGATTAATGCTGTATTTGGGGGCATGAGATTAGAGTTTGGCATTCATATTAGTATAATTGGAGCCCTAATCTCTATCTTTTCCCTAAGGAGACTTATGATTTGATTTGATTCTAATTTTATGGCTCCATTTGATGATACCAATTGCTTTTTATCATGTAGGTTTTTGTTATTTTGCTTCTTATCTGTGGTTTTTGATTTTTTTTCTTTCTCTTTTGCTTTGAAATAACTTAGATTGGGTCTGCCGTTGGTGGTACGGCGAGTGCATTTTACGGATTCAACCATGGTAATGTGTTCATTTTCACTCACCCTATTTTTCTTTTTTCAAAGAAGCTGTAATAATTAATATTTTGGTATATTGACGCTTCTATAGGTTAGTATTGATTTAGTATATCTGAATGAAAATCACTTAAGGCTTAAGAAGAATCACAGCTGAATCCCAGTTTTGTTTCGTTACTAGAAAGTTTTAACCATTCAATGTTGTAAAGCCCGATATTTCTATTGATGACAGAGATTGTCATGTTTTATATTCAATGTCTACCCTACAGTTTGTTGTCTTGTGCCATTAAAATATCTTCCTATATTACAAATCTTGGGTTTTGGAATTATTCTAATATTTGTTATACTTTTCCACTTCAGTTTCTTGGTTTCTGATTTATTTGTTTTTCCTTGACTCTATATTATCTGGCTCCTTGGAACTGTAATGTTTTCTTATATATTTGGTACATTATCGAGATTGATTGGAAATTTGAGATTTATGTTTTTTGTTTCCAATGATGCAGCGATGCCAGTTGTGCGGAGATGGGTGAAGGGACCCATGTGGCTGCATTTCCTTCTTGGTGTAAGTGACTTTTTGCATTACTATCACGGATCATATTCGTGTATTCCTCCTTGTTTTACTTATAGTCTTTTTTTTTTTTTTCCTTTTTCTTTTGTGTGTGTGTGTGTGTGTGTGTGTTATCTTATGAACATATATGTGTTGGACATGTGTATCGAAATCTTAAAATTTGCTATAAGACTGCATAAATCATCTTTGATAGTCTTGATTTTTTTAAGGAAAGATATCACTTTGAAAACTATCATACCCATCATTTCCTTGGAATTCACTAATTAAAAGGTTGGCACATTGTTTGAATGACTTGGCTATTATATGCTGTGGTGGAGCTGCCTATGAACCTCAGTTTTTGCAACTATGTTTAACTTCCCTTATAAAGAGTAAGAATAGGAGAAGTTGCTCTCCATGTGGGATTTAATTTCTTGTTTTTGCAACTATGTTTGGCTCCCCTTATAAAGATGTATGTACTTAATGGATTGTGTTGTTGAGTTATACTTGGCCACAGTTCTTTTTGCACTTACTTTTCTGTATCCACATGAGTTAAACTTTCAGAAGACTATGAACCTTCTCTTTTTTGTTTTCTTGTTCCCTAAAATATAAATTGTTAACTCACCGGTCATTTCATTTGATTATGTAGGCACCCCCGGTTATAGTATTCTCTTCAGCTTGTGCAGGACTGGCAGGTCAGATGGTTACTCTTCTTTTTCATTTGGGTCAACTTTTATGCTCTTGATTTATACCCTTCTGTATTGAAAATTTTCCTCAGTACTTAGGTCTTGTTTTAAGTACCTAAAAGTACACTCTTAGCATATAATTTGCTTAATAGTATAACAATTACTAGTGTTGGTCATTAGTAACCAAAGTTTGGAGCTAATAATTATACAAATTAGTCAAGTAAACGGCAATTGAAACTACAGAAAATATCCTTGGTGATATGGACTTTCATCCTTTATGTTCTTAAGCAATTCTCCAGATAATGTCCTAAAAACACCGGAGTTGTCTTGGAAATGCCTTGGATTTAACAAAACTTGAATCTGCAGGTGGTGCTGTTCCAGCCTTAGCCCAACTCGCTTCGTCTTCTTACCATGCAGCGTTTGCATCACAAACAGTACCTCATTCGCCTTCAAAGGATGATAAGATGCACAAATCCAAGACTTCATCTACCTTGTAATGTAAATTCTGATACATCTATATGCATTTGAGGAGTGTTAAAGCCTGTGTATATGCCTGTGCAATAAAATCTCCGAAGCTCTTATAGTCATGCAGTACTGGAGATAGTATCTTTTCTACTTGTATTCAAATATTCATCATGAGATTTAAGGCAAAACTGGAGCAAATATGAGATTTTGACCAAGTAAAATGAAGATGAAAAAACAAGAATTTCTTACAAATTTCTTCAATAGGTGGCAAAGTTCTTCGTAGGTAGCATTACAAGTTAGTGAAGTACTTGATCATGTTACAAGTTTGTGAATTGGGTTCTTCATTTGACAAAGTAGGTCTTTTGTTTCTTTCATTTTCAGGTTTTAACTAGGGGTGTTAGCCGACCCGAGCCGCTTGTGAGCAGCTTGAGCTCGACTTGATTTTTGTTCGGATACAGTGTCGAGCCGAGTTCGAGCTCGCCATATTTCAGCTCGAAAAGCTCAATTGAGAAAGTGAAAAAGTGGAGAATTGGAAATTTTTTTTTTTTTTTTTTTTTTTTTGAGCTCAAGCTTGAACTCAAATTTTCAGCGGTCGAGCTTGATAACCAAAGCCAATTCGGCTCGTTTACACCCCTAATTTAACTGATGCTTATTAATTGAAGAGATGTGGTCCATTTTAAAATCTCAAAATTGTAATGAAGGCATTGTAAGACAACCCTAAAAGGCTATCATAATATGAAATATATATTCTCAAAAGAGGTATTGAATATTTAAGAGCAAGTCTCATGTTTAAAATGCAGATAATCCACAGCGATGCTTTGCTAACAATAGTTAACTTGGCGTTAAACGCTATTAATATTTAATGGTTTAGAATTTGCATCAACACCAATGGTTGAAATTAATTTAAGCTATGATAAAATATATATTCTTTAACATAAAAAGATATAAAAGGAATGGTTATATCTGGGGATTATCCTCTTTATATACTCTATAATAAGATGCCTCTTATCATTATTTTTAAGCAAAAAAATTGGACATAAATGGTGAGGAAGAAGCTTCATATGTTTGAATATATTCTTTTTAAACTATCACCTTCACTTTAAAATTATAAATTCATAAAATTTATATCATTAATATCACTTATTGGGCAATATCATTGTAATACTAGTTTGGAAAGGTTATCAATAGTATCATAATTTCATACTTGTCATGTTATTAAATATTAATATAATAAATAAATAAAAAGACAATTAAATTAAGGGTACTGCTATGATATACTAGGAAATATTAGCCCCTCAAATTATTGGATTGCCTTCTCAAAATCTCTTAAATCAGTGGCAACCCAACGGTCTAAAAAGGGGAAATGTTACGCTTTATAACTACCTCTGGGTGGTTGAGTGGTTTGATAGAGACTTTTGTGTGTATTTCTCAAGAAGTCCTGAGTTCAAATCTCTCCTTAGTTGCTAATAGAGGTGGTCACTTGAGTTTTTGCCCGACTGATAGTTCCAACGTCCCAGAGGATTAGTTGATGTGCACGTAAGCTAGACCGGACACTCCTAGTCATAATAATAATAATTAAAAAAAAAAAAAAAGCAAATGATGGTGTTTTTAAATAGTTATGTATTAGGTATTTTTTTAAGTAACCCCTCAAATTATTGGACTGCCTTCTCAAAATCTCTTAAATTAGTGGCAATCCAACGGTCAAAAAAAAAAAGGGGCAATGTTACCCATTACTATATCAAATTTCATAAAACCATCTAAAAGTGTTTATCAAAACTTACATTTATTAAAATATTTTGAACTTTCGAATTTTTAATTTACATTAATTAACAAAAATAAAAATAAAATAATTAATTCTAGGATACCCTGTTTGCCACCATCCAATAAACTTTGTATAAGAACCAAATGATCTGTTCCTTCGGACACAAGTAACCAAAAAGAAGTTTTGGAAGCTCTTTAAACTCTATATAAACCCCACGTAACCTTCCCTCGTTCACAACTCATAAACCCTGCAAATTAAAACCCTTTAAACCAAGCAACTTATTTCTATCTTTCGTATCTTTAACTTGTTGTGATAATTATGAATAGGGTGCTGGGAGGAGGGGGAGTACTGGAGGAGGCCGGTGAGGGGAGGAGGCCGAAGACGAAGATTGTGTGCACGTTGGGGCCGGCTTCCCGGTCTGTTGAGATGATTGAGAAGCTTCTGAAGGCTGGTATGAACGTTGCACGCTTCAATTTTTCTCATGGAACTCATGCTTACCATCAAGAAACCTTGGATAATTTGAGGACTGCCATGAACAACACTGCCATTCTCTGCGCCGTCATGTTGGATACCAAGGCATGTTTTTTTTTACAATCTAAACTTGATTCTTTTAGTCCTTGTTTTGTTTTTGTTTAATGTTCTATCAGGATTTTTCAGTTTCCTGTGTATTTTTTAAATAATTTTTTGTATAATATATGATATGTATGTTTATTTTCTGTTCTGGTTGTAATTCCCTTATAAATTTTTACTGAAAATTAAAGCTGCTTGGATGGTGTTTGAGAAACAAAAAGAAATTGTCAAATAAAATCAAGTTACAGTTTTCTTTGAAATAAAAACAGCAAATAGACTGCAGAACTTTTTAGTTCCTATTATAATATATTTGATTTATATATAAATTAAGAATAGCGCTTACAAGAATCTCAGAATATGATTAGTCTGAATGAGTTATGGGCCTATAATGTTCCGTTACAAGCTGCTTTATGGAAAGCCAGACTGAAAGCATGATTCGTGGCATAAACTTCAATTCCATTGTAGAGAAATTAATGGTGATTGAAAAAGCCATAGAAAGGAATACATGTTATAAGCCTTTTTTCGGAATCATTATTGATGCCTGTCTATATTCTCCAGAATATCATGCCTTTAGCTTTACCAAAGAATAGAATAGTATCAAGAGATGCCTAATCGTTTTGCACATTGATTAGTCTCATACGACAGAACTTGATTCATCTAATTTTGTATTAAAATAATGGATTTAGTTTTAGGGCAATTTAGATTTGACTAATAATCTTTTCTAAACTTGTAAACATTACAGGGTCCTGAGATTCGAACTGGGTTTTTGAAGGATGGGAAACCAATACAACTCATTCAGGGTCAAGAGATTACCATATCCACTGACTATAGCTTAAAGGGTGATGAAAATATGATCTGTATGAGCTACAAAAAGATGGCCGAAGATTTGAAGCCAGGAAGTGTTATCTTGTGCTCTGATGGCACAATTTCGCTCACAGTATTGGCCTGTGATAAGGAACTGGGCTTGGTACGTTGTCGGTGTGAGAACTCTGCAGTTCTGGGAGAGAGGAAGAATGTTAATCTTCCTGGGGTCATTGTTGATCTCCCAACCTTAACTGAGAAGGACAAAGAGGATATTCTGCAGTGGGGTGTTCCAAATAAGATTGACATGATTGCACTGTCTTTCGTTCGTAAAGGTTCTGATCTTGTGGAGGTCAGAAAAGTCCTAGGAGAGCATGCAAAGAGTATTCTTCTTATGTCAAAGGTTATTGACAATTATCTTAAAATCTCAAATTTAAAAAATGATCACTAGTTAAACGGGATTCATTTTGTCAATCAATTAACATATTTATTGTGTCATGGCAGGTTGAAAATCAAGAAGGGGTTGCTAATTTTGATGAAATTCTGGAAAACTCGGATGCATTTATGGTGGCTCGAGGTGACCTGGGAATGGAAATTCCGATTGAAAAGATATTCCTCTCTCAGAAAGTGATGATTCTTAAGGCCAATATACAAGGAAAGCCAGTTGTAACTGCTACTCAGATGCTGGAGTCAATGATAAAATCTCCAAGGCCAACTCGAGCTGAAGCAACTGATGTTGCCAATGCAGTTCTTGATGGTACTGATTGCGTAATGCTCAGTGGTGAAACTGCTGCTGGAGCCTACCCTGAAATTGCTGTTCAGACCATGGCCAGAATTTGCATGGAGGCAGAGAACTTTATCAATTATGGGGATCTTTTCAAAAGAATAATGGGAACTGCACCAATGCCTATGAGCACATTGGAGAGTATAGCTTCTTCTGCAGTGAGGACAGCAAGTTGCATAAACGCAGCTATGATTTTGGTCCTAACTAGAGGCGGAACCACAGCAAAGCTGGTGTCGAAGTACAGGCCAAGGATGCCGATTTTATCTGTGGTGGTGCCAGAGATAACAACAGATTCACTTGTGTGGTCGTGCAGCGATGAAGCCCCAGCAACGCATAGCCTTATTTTCTGGGGTCTTTTGCCTGTTTTGTGCTCAGGGTCTGCAAGAGCTTCTGATTCTGAATCAACAGAAGAAACCATAGAGTTTTCACTTCAACATGCGAAGGCAAAGGGACTTTGCAAGCAAGGAGACTCAGTTGTGGCATTGCATCGCATTGACAATGCTTCTGTGATAAAGATCTTGACTGTGAATTGATATTTTGGGAAAGAGAAATTGTATTGATGGTAACAATTTTGTGGCTTCTAATTTCTGTAAACTTTTCTTTAACTCAGCAAAGATTGGAATAACAGATACCGATTTCTTCAAATACTAAGAATGTTATGTAGATATGAGTGATTTGATGTTTTCAATCATGGAATATACAATTTTGTAAATGGAACCATCTTGCCTAGGTGCAACCACAAAGATTCATGTTTTGTCTAATATTATCTGCTGTTTTACAAATTAATCTTGTTCTCTGAATTGGTACAGTAAACAGGGCAATCCAAATTGAAAACCAAGAAATTGAAAGAAAAAAAAAAAAAATTCTCTTTTTTCTCATGCCAACGAAAGCTAATAGTATTTATCACTTTATTAGAGCATAATTCACCTATTGATACATCTAGTTTTTGAATCTTACAAATGCAGCAAACAAAGCCATATGCTTTAACCAGACCAAACTAGGACTTCATATACAAAATACAGCAAATCCTGAAACCCAGTAAAATTACAGTGTTTCCTTTAACAAGGCTAAATTTCTTTAACAAAAGAAGCTTAAACTAGGAAGAACTACTTCCAGGTTTTCGTAAAACCAAGTTATGTACAAATTATATAAAAAAATCGAAAGAGGCAATAGTAAGTTACTTATAAATGCCTTCAATTCTCATCTCTATGAGAAGCAGTTCCTGGCAGTTGTGCCGATGATGGTGCTGAACTAGAACTTCCAGCATTCTGAGATCCTGACAAAGAGAACAAACCATCAAAAGGCCATAGAATTGGAATCCAATGCCTCCTCCCATTTCCTACTCTCTCTCCTCCTGTGCCTACCCTTACAATATCTTGTGCATCATTATTCCCTACAGTACTCACTTCTCGATTTCCAGTCCTGTTTCCTTCAATTTTGAGATGGACAGATGGCATTTGGAATCTGCAAACCGGACAAGAACTATGAAGTTCCAGCCACGGAAGAATACAACCACCATGGAACTTATGTTTACATGGCATCTCCTTTGCTTCATTTCCAATATCAAAATCCTCCAAGCACACTGCACATTGCAAATTCTTATCAACTGCAACTGTTGGCAATGCCTTAATTGCTTCTTTATGTGTTGGCGGGGTTCCATATCTATTCGGATCATTCTCTAGCAAATGTTGCAGTAACAAATCCAGACCAGGTCCTATAAGATAGTCACCTAAAGATGTGGCTGCATTGTGACCTCGTATAATTAAGGCCTCTTCATTCATAGGATTAACAAAAAGCAAACTACCATTCCTCTCCCTATAATTTTCAGAATCATTTGATTGAGAAGCAATACCAGAACGGATATCTTGAAGCATACGCAAGAAGGAAACCGAGTTGCTTCTTCTTCGCCTCCTAAACGAGGACTCAAACTCCCTCTCTTGGTCAGCCTCCTCATTTTGTGAATTGTTACCGGTGATACGTGGACGAGAAGGAACTGAACCAGAAGCACCCATCAAACGAAGTAAGATTGGAGCCCATAAAGAGAAAGCACGGTCTGATCCTACATCCATTTCATTGTTGATGGGGTGATCTTCTATGCTGCTGCTCATTTCTTCCACAAAACCGCCCTCGCACAGTGGACATTTTATCTCAGATTCCATTCTTGGATTTACCATTTGAGTGCACATGTGACACCAGTATACCCTCTCCGTTGCATCCCCCATCTCTAATTTTTCTATTCAAAAACCCTAATTATCAAATTGAACACAAACAAACAAACAAACTATGATCAAATGTTGTTTACTTTATTGTAACCAATTTCCCACCTAGCACAACTCTATGTATGTTCTATCAACTTCTGTATATATGCAAGGAAGCACAATAAAATAATCCAAGGAGGAGAATACGAGAAAAGTTAATTAAATTGAATACAGGTTTGACCTTAAAGACAATACAAAAAGCAGAATCTTCCTCTCCACCTTAAGAAAAGTAACAGGTAAACAATGACACCACATCCACATGATTCATAGCTTCATTTCCAAGTATGCAATGATGAAAATACAGCAACACCAAAATTTCATACAATTTGCAGAATAAAAGATACAGTTTCATGAATTCATAAATAAACAGATAAAAAAGCAAGAAGTAAGTAAGATTATTTGTACCTTTTGGATAGAGGATATATGTTGGTTTCTCTGTTGATCTTTTTGAGAAAGAAAGCAGAAGGGACAACATTATAATAAAATTTTCTCTATTTTTTAAGTAGAGCTATTTGGGTTCCATGGCTTTGCTACCTATCATTTGTACTTGATTATATTTCAAATATAGGGCTTTGTTTTGTTTGCTTTTCTTAAAAGAGTCTGGTGATTGTGTTGGTTGGTAGGAGTTTGTTTTCTCTGAAGAAAACTTAGCGCCTCTGATTTATTCATGAAATATTGCACATTTATCCTTCACATTATGCCAACTGATTGCCTTACTTCAGATATTCCTAAACCTGGCTACATGGATAATATGAGAAAAATAAAAACAAAAATTAATTGAAAATAAATAAAGATACTATCTTGAGGGTATTATCATTTTATAGGTAACAATTAACATTACTTCTTTCTCAACCTCTGAATTCTAATCGATCCTGGCATCATAATCATGAATCGAGAAAAGAGTAATGTTACCCTGTATATTATAACAAAAACCTTATTTTAGAATATATCATAATCTTAAATTTCTCAAGTTTGACTTACATAGAACCTAAATAAATTATTTGGGTTTTTAGCAAAAATAGTCAAAAACAACCTTAAGGGATTGGTCTATTAGTCAAGAAGATTTGTTTCCTTTATTAATTTTCTGGGTTTAAATCACCTTGGCGTCACTCATCATATTTGTGGTTTATCTAGAACATTGGGCTTATAGAGTGTTCAATGGACCTGAGGATTAGTTGAAGTACACGTAAGTTAGTTTGTACACCCGATTATTGAAAAAAAAAAAAAAAAAAAGGTGTCAAAAACCATTCATTTGATGATTGCTCAAAAGTGTTTGACATTTTCTTCAAACCTTGTTCAACAAAATTTGACAAAGTGATAGTGCTCAACATGCTTGAAAGTTGCTTCTTACAAGAGTTTAACGAAGGTTATTTTAATCCCAAGGGGTTGACTTAGCAGTAAAAAATGTTTGTTCCTTTTTTTTATTTTTCGGATTTGGATCTTGAGTGTCAACTATCACATGTAATTTACTTGATCCTTTAGATTTGTAGGTATTCAATAGACTTTAGAGATTTATGTCAGTGTATATAAGTTAGTCCGAACACTCTAGTACAAAAAAAGAAAAACAAAGAAAAACAAAGGTGATTTTAAGTTATATAATGATAATTAATTGCATATATATCACAAATATAGAAAGTGGTGATTTTTTTATATATATTTTTTTTTTTTAAACAAGATTTTTAGAATAACTTAATCGAATAACACAATACCCCAATCGTAGAAAACGATGATGTTCTTAAAATAATATTGAAATTGTAATATTATAATATAAAAATGAATATTAATGAAGAAAAAATCAACAAAATTAATTTTGATACCAGTACATCCTGATTCCTGAGCTCCTGAAGTGTTAATTTCGATAATATATTAGGAAAAAAAAAAAAAAAAAAGTTTGAGTTGGTTCATTTGGGTAATATTGGGAAGGAGAGGGCAAAAGTGGAAAATAAGGTCCTATAAAAGCTAGAAAAAACCCTAATCGAAAACAACTACTTGATCTTATCTGAGCAGAGAACTCGAAAGCTCCCATCTTACTATGACATGGGTATTGCGTGAGAGCCACCCGCCCTTTCTCAAGGGTTTGTCGGCGGCTCCGCCGTGCCCGTGGTCGGATTGTGAGATGGGTTTGTTCTTCTGGTTTCCTGTAATGAAGACTGCCCGCGGTCAGAGCTTTACAAATCCATTCGTTGGTCTGGCTATGATGGCCTCGCGGGCTTCACCCAAAAAATTAAAAAAAAAAAAAATCTTAAATTTGATTTAGTGGATACCCTTTATGAACTTCAATACTAATTTACTATTTTCTTTCTTATTCGTATTTGGGTTTTTGAAAAGTTTTAATTTTTGTTTATTGTGTTGTTAGCTTGGTTTGATTGCCTTTGGTAGTTTAGTTGATGCATTCAAGTCTGCATTTTTGGGGAGAAAAGATATCAAATTTGATTTTATTGATATCCTTTATGAATTACACACTAATTTACTGATTTTGTTTTCTTAATTTTTAAAGTTGTATGTTTTGTAAGCTAGGGTTGAATGTGGATGATGCATACTATATTTGAAATTTTTGGAAAATTTTATTACTCAGTGTTTATTAATATTTTCTGAGTTACAGGAAATATTTTCAACCTGAAGTTTAAGGGAATTCATTGAAAATTTCTTCTTTTATTATTTGGATATAATTTGTTTTCGTCTCAATTTGGCCTAACTATAAGGATTTTGTTAGTCTGAAGAATAGACCTTAACTTCAAATTAAAATATCTCTTCATTTTCACAAATTTATTATAGGTTTTTAAGTTTTCAGATACTTAGTTCCTGGAGGAGCTTAATCAAACTTAGTTGTGTAGCTTAAATTGCTTAATAAAGTTTTGTGTGATTGTTCAAATGATGTTTAAATGGATAGAATCATTGCAATGTTTTTAGTTTCACCATTTAAATGGACTTGTGTTTAGTGATACAAGTTGTGAACATTTTGTGGCTTTTTCTTCCTCTTTTTTGTGTAAAAGAATTGGGTTTCCAACTTGTTTTACAAATGCTTTGCAGGGGGGAATTTGCAATGCTATGTTTTACTTGTCCATAAGACTTGCTGAGAAGAAATACTTTAAGGGGAAAAGACTCATTGAAGCCTGCATTCACTGATCTTGCTAATGGATGCTTGTAACATCAGCTTTTGTTCTTTGACAATTGTTCATTTGTTCTTTAAATTCTAGTGTTGGTTCCAATGCTTTGTATTTTCTTTATTCTTCTCATAACTTATCCTTGAGAGGTCTGCTTTATGTAACGAATGATGTTGTAATGGTTAAACTGATACCCTGTTTGATTATTTGGCTGTTGTTTTTGAAAATTTATGTGTATTCTGCAGTAAGGTAAATGATACCAATTGCTGAATAAACAGAATCAGTTTTGTGACAGAATCTTGTATTGACACATTTGTAAACTATAGTGTCAAAACAAACCTTCATTTAATAAAACGTTTTATTATAACAATCAATTCAGTTTGGTGTTTATATACATGAAAAAAACAAATTATTAGAAATGAGATGATACATACTTGTGGCAAGACTTTTTTGTATCACTCAAGGGTGGTCTAGTAGTTTGATAATGACTTTTGGTGTATTATTTAGTCTTAAATTTGAGTTTCTCAGCTAGTAACAGGGGTGTTCATGGGAGTTTTCACACAATTAGTAGTTTCATGGTCTCAGAGAATTAATTGAGTTGTGCCCGGTGATTACAAAAAAAAAAAAAAAAAAAAAGGACTTTTTCGTGACTAAATGAGATGCTTTGTTCTTAAGGAAGGCAATCTCTCAAATGAGGAAACCATGAAGACATGCATTGCTGTGCTGTTCCTGGAATACACAAAATAGTGTTTAATAAGTTTTAACTTATATTTACTATAGCAAAGCTTGAAGAAGAATTAGCTGTACTTTTTATTAGTGAAATTGTACTGAAATGAATTTCAGGAATTAAGAAGAAATAATAAAAATCTCAGCTCTACAAGTACAACTAGCAGGACTGCGCACACGGCACACTGTTGGCAAATAAATAAATAATTGCAATACACTTAATTAGCGGGCAAGCTCTTAAGTCAAAAGCGAACTGCAGACATTAAATCAGGATCAATGAATCATTGCTTCATCTTTTCTGTCAAAAGAAAAAATATGGTGGAACCAATGGATTTATATGTTACTTTAATCAAATATTCTGTGCTAACTATTCTACATGTGATAGCAAAGATGAACTGTTAATCATGATTTAGTCTGCTTAATAAATTGATTGACCTACTAGGGGAAATCAATGTACAGGATTACGATTTTGAGGCATATCCCTGAGCTTTCCATGTGGAGTATATAATCTGCAGTGTTTGGCTGGATGTGTTTACTGCCTTTATTTTATTTTATTGCTAATGATTGGAGGGTGTTTAGCATCTTGCAACATAATCTGATTTCTTACAGAAACCACTTGATTTTTAGATTTATAGTGCATGCAACATTAAATTATTTATTTTCCAATAATTGGCTCTGTTCTTTGAATCCTCTTCTGGGTAAAAAAAAAAAAAACATTTCGCAATCATGGAACCGGGCTCAAAATTCTTAACAGTTAATCAAAATTTGTTCTAAAATTTCCTGTACACCTATGCAACCTTTTTTACTCTGAACTAATTTTCTTAAGAAAAATATTATGAAAAGGAGTCTATTATAAAACAATTTAAAACATGAAATGAGCTAAGGGTAATTATAAGAACATCGAATGGAAATGCTATAAGAATTTGTTTTTATTAAAATTATTATCATCTTATGAATTGAAAAAAATGTTGTCCCTCCTAAAAAGTTTCCAGGCTTTGCCCTGACCTTGAAGTGTTCAAATTAGCAAATCGTGGCAAGTCAGTTGGACAAAAGTATCAGAATATATAAAGCATGGACCAAGATCAAAATTATTGCTAATTAATCCTTCTGAAACTTGTTCAATAAAAATATTCAAAGATAAAAGCAAATTCAAGCCACAAGCTTGAAGCTTATTACAATTACACAATCTCTCTTCATCTTCCTCCATGAATCATCAGAACAATTTCTAATTCTGAGATTGGTCTGGCAGAGACCATATCTGCACAAACCCTTCTTGGTATTATAATAGATGTGATTTAACTACTAAGATTCAAAAGAAAAAAATGCATTCAGGGCCATCTCTAGAACTAGAAGGCCTTGTGGTGACACTATTGTCATTGCATTGAAACTTTACAATAAATTTAACAACTGTAATTAGTAAAGAGAGCTGATTAATAATATTAGTCAGTTTTCAGGAGAGATTAAAACTGTGTCCCACTGAAGGTTTGGCCAAAGGACCAGTTTGGAGGAGCCACATTGGTTGAGATAACAGAGCGGCCATCGCTTGTTGTCACCTTGAAAGAGAGGGCTTGGCCATTGAGGTATGCATTGCTCTGCCAGTTTTGGCCCCAATTGCGGGACAACGGTTGCCATCCAGTCCTAGACCCTTTAATGGCGGCTGCCACTACATCACCAGCACCACCAACATTTGTTATGAGCACCAGGTTGAAGTATGAGTGGCCATTAATGGTGAACCTGATCCCACCACTCTTCCTGCAGGCAACCCTGGAAGCCGAAAATACTGTTTAGTATGTGATAAATTTATAGGCCAGATGAGTTCAGATTGGAATGTTCTGGTTACCTCCTATATTGAACTGGGACTATTCCTGCTTTGTAGTGAGCTATGTGTTGGAAAACAGGCTGCGAAAGATCGAAATGTTGCAGAGGAGGATTACACCAGCCTCCAGCATTGCTTGGAAGGGCACTGTTTGGAGGGCAGAAGTTTGTTGCAGTGACTACAATGGAGCCTGAGAGACACCACCTGTTGTCATTTACACATTTGATCTCGAAACAAGCTCCACAGGTTAGTCCATTATTGAAAAGAGCAGTGCTTAATGCTGCTGTGTTGGTGCCATAGCCTTGGCTGTAAAGATTTGCATACCCACAAGCTCCTCCTGGAACATATCAAAAAATTGTTTAAACTACTAAGTAGAGTTAAATTTCAATGAATGTAACTTTTGGTGGGTCTGATTCTCACCCATTGTGCCAGAAGCATCCCCTCCACCATAAAAAGTTGCATGAGCATTAGACCATCCACCAGCATAGCCATGAATTGTGTTTGACATCGACAGAATGGTGACCACAAAGATGCCAAGAAAATCCATTTCCTGCAGAAGTAAAAAGAGAGTCAATCCAAGACAAACTTAAGTATTTTCAGATGGATTGACAGAGAAAAAGTTAATGTAAAAAGCTGCAGCATACAGAAGAAAAATGATAGGTTTGGGTGTGCTAGCAATGACCAAAGTTTAAGAAAGATGCCAACTTGGAATAAAAGAGAATATGGATGAGAAAGAGAAAGAGAAAGAGAAGGTAGGGAAGATGTTGAGGCATGCAACTTTATTTATAGATGCATGTGTGTGAAGGAAGGTGGAGATGGTGGAGGTATATGACTAAGGAAGTGATGACTGCTGATGTAGCCAAAGTTAGAGAGAAAAAAATAAAAAAATAAATAAAAGATTCAAAGAATTTTCAAATAGATAATTGGTTGACAGTAAAAGTAACAAGGAAAGAAAGCATGCATATAGAGAGAACCGACCAATTTTTCTTTGAATCTTTTATCCTAAACGGATAAGAGGACAAGTTGCCATGACATTTGCTGGGAACCCAATAAAAGATAAAAGCAGGTTAAAGAAGATTAGACCTTGGAAACTTTTATGGTTTGCATTATGCTGCTTTTTAGTGTCTCTGAGAAAAAGTAGAAATGGTTAGTGCTTTTCTTTTCATTAACATTGATTGAGAAGTTACTTAAGATATTGGTTTTATGACAACCAATGCTTTATTTCAATTGCAATGAAGGAAAACACAAAGGAGAAATAAGAAAAAGAAAAAGAAAAAGATGAACATGTGTCTGCACTGTTGTCTGTATATAACATTCTGATGTAGTGTGACATAAAATATATGTGTAAAGCATGTAAGTCTAGTGTTTTTGTGTAAATATTGGGGCCGATTCACATGTACCCACCCTAACTATTGCGAAACTACAATTTCATAACCCAAGTTTTGAAAAACCATATTTAACATTTGAAATTGAAAACTGGGTGGAACGTTGATGGTTTTCGGAACTTGTGGTATGACTTTGTCGTTTCACGGTAGTTAGGGTGGGTAAATGTAAATCAGCCTGGCATTACAATTCACCAATGTGAAACGGGAAGTCACTTTCTATTATTTTGAAGAAATGTAGCAGGGTGCTACAGTAAACAAAGCACTCAATTTCTTGTGCTGCAAGAACAACTATGCTGAGAACTTTCTAATCCCATTTTGGGATCTGAAATTTTGTTTGTGTCTATGCACATGGAACAAGGGAAAACAGCTCACTTGTTAATTATTTGAAGGCAATTTCTTATATCAGAAACCAGTAACCTTTCAAATACCAGAAGCAGAAACCATTACATTTTTGGAAGCTAGGTTCCCTGCATCAAAATGTAGGTTGCTAGAGGTCTAACATAAGTGTTGTGCATGTGGCTAACCGTCCATTTCAGAAAGAATGAAAATTTACATCTCTTTCTTTACTTTCTCGGTATTCACTTTTCAGCATTCTTTACTTTTATCATATAGGCCATACCCACCTCAAGTTAAACTGCTTAGTTTATTGTTTCAGGTTGCCACTTCACTTACAGAATATACTACTTTAGTATCTTTACAGCTTAACAGAACTAACATAATGAATAAATTTGATTGATATATGAATATTCCAACTAAAAGTGTGCTAACATATAGACACCTGTGGTTTTAATTCATATAAAAAATTCTGCTGTCAATGAATGAATTTTCTCTGCTTACTTCCATTATTTTTGCGTATGAAACATTAGATGAATTATTAAACTAGGCAATCAACCAACTCACTTCTAAAACAAACTTCATCTAATTAGTCTCATAGTAGCTTTCTTGGCTTCTTGTAGTTCAAAAGGATGCAGGGTTGTTACAAGAGTTGAAAAACAATCATATTTATGCATAAATCAGTATGAACAGAACAACTAAAAATGAAGAACAATTTAAAGCATAACTTTAGCATATTGGTATTAAAATATGCTTAACTTCATGTGCAAACTTTGAATTTCTGTTAATATAAAGATAATTCTGATAAAAAAATATACACGTATGTAATAGTTAATTAGTTTAATCAAAGCTGATAGCTACTTATTAAACAGATAAGGATGATTTTTGTCATGTTTCTCTATCCTTTACTGCAAAAGATGTTTTTTGAGAGGGACTCAAGAAAATTCTAAAAGAATCATAATCTACAGAGCAAAGAACAGCCAGAAAAACCCACCACATTAACATATAATTATATCCATTACTAGATTCTTGACAAAACGATTTTTTTTTTATTTGTAATCAGGGTATCGGAGCCAGTTTGTTCGCATCTCAACTAATCTTCAGGGTCCATTGAACACCCTATAAGCCCAAAGGATCAGGTAAGTCACAATATTATGGTGGTAGGTAACCCCAAGGATTGAACATAGGAACTCAAAGAAGGGAGCAAACCTCCTTGACCGTTAAGCCAACCCGTTGGGATTTTTGACAAAACGTTGATAGTAAATAACAATAAAGAAAACAAATTTATCTTTGCCGTCTAACCTAATTCATGTTTCTGCTCATCTATTGGGCAGACTGCTCGTTGTTTATATGAAGATTCTATTGGGATAAGTTATTAATTGTACCTAATGAAAGATTATTTTCAAGTTTCAACACAAGAAGTTAAGAAGTTTTACACTTAGTGTTGTGATATATTATGGTATTAGGTGAAGGGAAGAAGACATCTGATAGAACTAACTACCAGATCATGGAGATTTTATATTGATCATAAAGAAGAAATAATCAAATCTTTAAGTCTTGAAAGAACAATAACAACAAACAAAGCTATATGATTGAATTAGTGAAGGGTTTTCTACCAATTGCACATGGGATCACATGGCCGCTATGGAAAGAATTGAAAAGAAAAGGCTATGGGCCTGATTGAGATACCTTTTACAGACATCTGTCCCACATTTTATCTGAAACACAAGTTTCTCATTATTCACAAATATATTGAGAATTTTTCAAGGAAACTATTGGCCACATGAACTTAAAAAAAAGTTTTATATGCAGTAGCACCAGTCTAAATCAGGGAAAATACACTGAGATTTTTATGTTCATGAATTGTTGTGTGTTGCCCACTTAGAGTTGGAGCCAGCATGCCTGATCCAACACTTTGAATTGGGCAGCATGTGGATGAATAATTCAAAATGGGACACTGCCCTCCATTGAAATGGATGTGCACTATTTGAGTCTAGGCAGTGGAAATGGATGAGGACATAGCAAATATACTGTAGCAGTGCACTACAAAGACAATGTATCCTTTTATTCAATTTTATATTTCATACTTTAAGAAAGGTTTGCCCTTTGCATTACAATGAAATGGCTACAGGTTGGCTACAACAACTAGTAGTGAAGAAATCTAAGTCCATAATTAAAAGGGTTTTTGGTCTCCTCTGATTATGTAATAGAGGTGTCATGAAACATTAGCAATTGAGACATTATGTCATGTGCCTAGAATTCATTGTTTAGTTTAAACAAACATGGCCGTGCAGGCATGCATTCTTGTTGCCTTATTTTCTACTGGCCCAATGGTGAAATTATTCACATGTATGAGACAAGGTCAATTTTTGAATGTCCAGAGGCTCTGGTAAGAGGGAAATATTGCAGCCTTCTGAATAGCAGCTCATCTTCCACAAACTTTACTGCAATGCTACATTGAGAATTCAGACCAAATTACCAATAGCTCATTTACATTGAGTGAGAGATATCCTGAAATGGAGAATTTCTAGTAACTTACATGGTCAACAAGCATGCAGTTAGAAATACAAGGCGCCTCAACACTTGTGTTCCAAAGAGAAGAGGAAAATAAAAAGATGAAACAAGAGAGAGCCTGGGTATAAAGTGAAGAAAATCTGCAAAACGGAAATTTCTCCAACATCTAAATATTCAAATCTATTTGCAAGTGAACAATTGTATATTTATAACTATCCAATGGATATTAGGGGTTGAACTGGTTCCTGCTTGAGAAGAAGATCAAAACTTGTGGAACACCTTGGTACTGAACATATCTCTGCTTGCTTTCCCCTTGAACGTGAAATGCCTTTTCAGACGATTCTTAAAGGAAGAACCACTGTCATTCCCATGCGGTGCTCTCCTCAATCTGTCGTTGATAAGATCAGAGGCTTCACTGTTACTATGGTCGTGCTGATCCTCAGATATTACAATCCCTCTGCTTTGCTGCAAGGATCTTAGGGCCATGTGCAACGGTTCTGAAACTGATGAGGAGTCCTCCACTGGTCCAAAGCTCTTCAAGCACAAGGGGCAAGGAGGTTCATGAATCTGGGTCTTCGGGGTCAGTTGCTCCAAGCATTCAGCATGAAACACATGGCTGCAAGGTAGTACCCCAGCAGTAGGCATATCACCACCTCTCATGATTCGATGTGAACTCCAAGGGGACTTTTGGCACAACAGTTTTCCACAAACTCCACACTTTTGATCTACAGCATGGCCGATAGGTGACCTCAAACTCTCAACATCAATGTGCTCTGATATGTCAAACCTTTCTCCATCAAACCCAAAATCATAGCTGCTGGCACTGCTCCACCTAAAGCCCTCTCTTCTAGAGCTAGCACCAGGGTCTGGTGATGCCTCCCACCTTTGGAGTTCGGTGAGTGTTTTGTGGAACTTCTGTACAATACTTGAATCAAGCCAGTGAGAAGGTGAGATATTATCGTCAACTGGTGTCAACCTGCCTACACTATTGGCATCAGCATCACCATCACCAAAGTTTTCACAATCTGACACAGGATTGTGAAAAACTAGTGGATAAACTGCTTTAGACATGTGAGAGCGTCGACTTGGAAAGCTGCGATTAGGGAAAGAAAAGGGCCGCTTGCTAGTTGATTCCCACTGGCTGGACTCAGAAAGTGAAGATGGGGATCCAAAACTGGGAGATGCTGCAGTTGCTCTAACAGCATATCGCCTCTGCACCAGAAGAACCCCAAAAATGGGGAAATGTTTAATAATATATATCTAGCTGAACAGAGCTATCAAATTCATAAAGTTGAAACAACAGTCACCTCGGTTGAGTGAGGAAACCAAGAGGTCTGGGACCTTGATCCTGATAGTAAAAAGAAAAAGACCAATAAAGCAAACATTAATATTCATAAGGAAAAATGTGACGAAAAGTATTAAAAAGTGAAGAGCAAGATAAAAATTATTAAAACACCATGCAGGGACACCTTAAAGCATCTGATTTCAGCAAATTCAAACAGAGCTAAGCTAAAACTCTCCCTGAAGAAGCATGCACACAAAAGCACACACCAAAGCCCAAAGAAAGAGGTTTATTTATTATTCTACTCCCAAAATGCACCCTGAAAATGTACTGTTGCTCCTTATGTCATCTAAGGCCAATAACGTGTTGCAAAAGTCACTAAGTTGTATTTAAAAATCCATATCATATATATGGTTTGTACTCTCAGATGTCACTGTCATATTCAGCCATGTATCCTTGTACATGCCTGAACTCTTTTTTATACGCCTTCTCATCCTAAATTTTATTTGAATTATCTCAGTTTCCCCTTTTCTTCTTTGGTTTTGCAGAGAGAATGTTATTTAATGTTCAGCTTAAATCAAATCCTAGATGTGGCTGCATTTGACTTTCTCAGTAATGTGCTCCCAGATAGATTTTTCTTGTAGATGGAAAAAGAATGACACTACAAAAGTAAATTTGTTAAACCAAATCCCAAATGATAGAAGTCAGATTCCATGATACAGTCAATCCAAAGAGTCAGGTAAAGAATACAAAGTACCTGCAGCAAAGAAACACTAACCAGAGAAATCATAACATAGCTTACATAGAGGTCAAACTTATGCCAATTCTCTCCTTGTAAAGACAGATCATCAAGCCTAATGGAGTGGCTTTAGACACCAACATCTTGCCCCAATTACAAAGTTTCAACGCCATCCTCTAAATTTGGCTACCATTTCCTTACCACCCAAAAGCAATCACAGAAAAACAAAGATGAACAATGAAACTCCCTGCAGCTGAGAAGTGAAGCACGTGATCCTCAACTGAATTCCCATGATAGTTAAGACAAATAATACCAATTTGAGGGGTGCAGAGATGGCCTCTCTTCCTTAGATTCTAAGCCGCTACAATTTTCTGCAATACACCTGGCCACCTCAACAAAACCAGCTGAGTACGCCAGATCTTCCAAAAGGAAAGAAAATTTTGTAGCCAAACTTCACTTTAAATTTATGGTTCCTAAATGTCTCCAACCCTTTTAATAATAAAAATAATAATTTGAAATGATGGCCAACACACCAGGGAATCTACCAAAATAAGTAATCAAAAATCCCCTCATAAGCTCCATGATTACAGAGATCTCAAAAAGCAAATTTGAACAGTTTCTACCCAAACCAAAAGAACTAACTAAACCAAGAAAGGCTATCCTCATCAGCACATGCCTTTTTGGCAACCTACCAACTAGCAAGTAATTCTTGTATGATTCAAGTTCTAAGATCCCCACCCATGGGGAGAGATAGAAATAGATCGAACTGGAAGGAGTGAACTGGAAGGAGTAAGGTATATGAGAAATGTCATCAGAATGATTAATATTGAAAGATAATCAGACAATAGGAAGAAAAATAAAAAAATTCCCAAAACAGTGTATTATTATTTTTATTTGGCCAACTTTGATGTCCTGGGCAGGTTAATTTGATACAAGGAACTATCTAGCACAAATCACTTTGGCAGTCCTTTAAGTCAGCAAAAGGTTAAATCACAAAAACATATAACTGCTTAACTACAAATAAGATATATGTACGCAAAGACAGAATATATGCATTCAACATTACACGATTCTACTCGCAAACAAAAATCTTAAACAACATACAAATCTAATAACAAATGAAGAATCAAGCAGACACTACCTCCCACAGTAGATGCAGCAAGCTCCCCAAAATTGAATTTTTGCACTGGTGATGTCCAACGAGGTGCCTGGATATTATCAGGTGGACTACCTGAATAAGATAGTACTCCATCAGACACAGAATGATGATGATTTGTGGTGAATCGTTCGCTGCTCACCCTACTTCTGCTTCCTCTGCTAGTGGAGGATAATGATGAACCATGTAAAGGAGCTCCATGAGACCCATGTTGTAAGCCATCTGATTGCAATCTGCAGTCCCATATCCTAAATGGAGGAGGTGAAAAGCTAGAGTTTGTCTGCCAGTGTGGTTCACCAGTATCCATGGAGTTATCCTGGCCGATAGAGGGTGATTTTGTTCCATGTGGCCCAGAGGCCACGCAACATAGTTGACCCGTGTTAGCTATTTTTTATAAGCAACAGCAAATATGTCTTGTGCTCTTAAGTAGAATCCAATGGCACTAGTAGTACTAAAAATTGTAGCAAAGCATATCCACAATCAAGTAATTAAACATTCAAGCCAACAGTTCTTCTGGAGTTGATTTGTTATTATAGGCATATTAGCCTTCCATCTTGCAGAAAAAAAAAATATATATATACACAAAATAACTTATACAAGTCCAAACACACTGATATCACTTGCCAGCTAAGAATGGTTTAAACCAAAGAATCTACTCTTTTCCACCGGCTTTTATCCCTGCATCAAATTAACAGGCAAAATTGTCTTCAAATAGGAGCAGCTGAGACCCAAAGATCAAGTATTAAATATCTTTCAGTGTAAAATATTTAGAGAATGTTATATACCAAACTGTTGGCTTTACATAACTACGAAGGATATACTTAAAGAAAAATATTTAGAAAATGACGACTGCAGATTTAGATATAAGAAAAATGATAAATATCAAGAAGCAGGGAAACAACATTCACAAGAAACTGGTGAGCTCCATTAGAGTAGTATATTGTAACATGAAAGAAAGCCAAAATAAATTTAGGAAAAATCATGATGTAAGTTTTGTATTACCTGCATTCATCCTCAAACCACAAAATTGTCTTAGATATTACAAAATTATAAGTTTCATCAAGACTTGTCCCATTTAGGCTGCATAACGATTTCAGATGTTTCTTTAATCTCCTTTTTCACTCAGATTAACGCTCTATAACTGTCTACACTGTGTTGTTGTTCCACTATTCTAGAGGACAAATGTCTGCAAACTTACAGCATTAGACATTAAAGACAGCAAAAGGCGCAACTGCTAAATTTATAAACTGCGCAGAATTTAGGTGAACTTTTAAGAGAGTTTCTGAAAAAGTTGAGAAACCACGCTCTAATATGACAGCGATTAGAACCTAAAATTATCAGCATAATTCTGTATGCCAAACTTTAATTTACAACTGCAATCGTTTATAGGAAGAATTCTATAATGATCAGTTAAAACACATCTGCACTGAAACCCTTCAACAGCAAAAACTAATACAAGAAATTACCAGGGCCCCAAAGTCACTAAATTCCTAAATTCATCATTTCACCTAAAAATCACAATTCCTCTAAATATTTAAAAACAAAGAAAAAAATGGAAGCATTAACTCAATCCCAATAAAACCACAATCAGTACTAAGAAAATCAAAGTTGAAAAAAAAAAAAAAAAAAAAAAAAAGCACCCACTAGAACACCCTTTCACCACAATTTACAGAGCAAAAAAAATTAATAAAAAAATGAAAACATATACACAAACACAATTAAAAAAAAAAACCAGAAAGCCTGTTGAGAAACAAAATTGAAATTAAATCAGTAAAAAGAAAAAAAAAAATTACAAGAGAAAGAGAAACAGTACCTCGAACTGGAAAAAGAAAAGAAGAAGATGATCTGGGTGAGACGATGATGAAAAAAAGGTGGAAAGAAAGAAACAAAGAAGAGAATGAGAAAAGCGAAACCCTAGGGGAAGAATGGAGTGGAGGACACTTGGGGGAGTGAAATAGAAACATAAAATAATGGGTTTGTTTGTACGCAAATATTCTCTTTCTCTTCTTCTTTAGTGGAGAAAACGAGACAAAACAAAAGCGAGAAAGAAAGAAAATGGAAAAAGAAAGCAACTGAAAGTGATGGGCATTCATACCAATACACATTACACTAACATTAGAATTCCATTTTTTTTTTTTTATTTTACAGTATTTTTCAAATTACTACGACTGCTACGTTGTATGTATTTTTGAAGATCGAATGTGAATGTATATATTTCCAACACGTAATCAAACGACTGTACATCTTCCATTAATAACTCGGGAAACAATAAAATGTTTCTTCCGACAAAACTCCTTACCTTCTTCATCTCTAACTTAAACAGGGAACTAACTAGTTGAGTACTTGAGTTACTCTGTCACAGTTGGATTCAGATGCACGATTTTATTTTATTCAGGGGTCCATAAGTCGTTTTTAAAATTTAAGGTAAAATTTTTTTACCCTCAAAGAACTGAAATTTCACTTTTGACCCACATCTTTTACGATTAAGATAAACGGTACGGTTTCACGATTTCACCTTTATTGACTAGATAAATGGTGGGCATAGACATGGGGACAAAATCGTCTCTTTAACCACTATTGTGTGGTTAAATAGTCAATTAGGACTTTTGGGTTCAAGAAGTCTTAAGTTCGATTTATCTTAGTTGCTAGTAGGGATAACCACTGGATATTTAATTAAGTCATTAACTTCAGAGTTTTAGAAGATTAGTTGAGGTGCACGTAAACTGGTTTGTACACCTCCGATAAAAATAAAATAATAAACCTCTCTTACTTAAATGAGTAACTATACTTACTCGAGAAAATCTTTAATAAGTTAGTTCATATCTATAAATTTGATTGATTGTAAGTACCAAGTAATCTTAAGTGTGTATCCAGTAAGATTATAATTATATTTTTATCTTTTTTAACTAAATAAAACTAAAAGTGTAAATATGAAATCATGGGTGCATTTGGCTCCCTATTTATACCCATATTCCCAATCTTATTCTCCAAACATTGTTTGGCACATTATTCCAAAAATATTACTATATTTTTTAATTACTTTTAGACCCCTTAAGTTTATTAATTTCATTAAATACCTCTAGAAAAAAAAGTTTAAAAATTAACAAAAACACCCTCATCAACCCATACTTCAGATTCCGGCAATCACCGTTGATGGTAGCCGAAATCTGTACAACGACCTACACCACAACCAGAACTGGTTGGAAAAGGCCAGATTTGGCCGTCAGCGACGGCCAAAGAAATGGCCGTTGTTGACGGTCAACGACGGCCATATCTTTGGCCTTTTTCGGTCGACGACCACATCTGGCCGTAGATCTAGCCTTTTCCGGCCAGATCCGTGGTGGATCTGGTCGGAAAAGGCCATAGCGACGCTTTATGACACAAATCCGACCGGTCTATGTCGTAACGTAATTTTTCGACCAGATTCCGGCGGTGGTGGCCAGAATCTGGTACTGTAGGTAGTAGGGGTGTTTAATTAAATTAGCAAACCTAGGGGTTTTTTTATAAATTTTTAAATTTTACCTCATAATACTCCCCTATTCAACTACCCAATATTATACCCAAAATCCTATCCAAAATAATAAACCAAACGCACCCAGACTTTTACTTTCTTTTATTTACATTAAGAGAAAATCTTTACTCAGATTGTTCAAATCTGTAAACCAGAATATATATTATTATAAGTATCAAGTAATCTTAATTGCATATCTAGCTAGGTGGTGATTTTATATTTATCTTTATTGACTAAATGAACCGTAAGCTTGATTAGGTCATAATCAAGCCGAGCCCGAGCCGAGCTTAAGCCCCCATATTTTTCTCAAGCTCGAGCTCAAGCTCAACATTTGAAGTTCGGTGAGCTTTGGCTATTCCAACTCAGCTTGGCTCGATTATACCCCTAGTCAAGCTTTTTACTTTCTTAATTAAGAAGTTATAATACATCCAAAGAAAGTCTATTATAAAGTTTGAATCTATATAATGGATTTTTTTTTTTTTTTATATGTATATAAATGGACATTGGGAATTATTAAAATATGATATAATTAGAGATGTACTCTTAATTATGAACGTATTGTGCCATTAATTAAGGAATCTAAAACTCACCAATAGAGTGATTAATAGTTTATTTAATGTGGTATTTTCACATGTATTTAATATCCATAAAACAATAATGGGGGAGCCAAGACTTGGGGGCCCATGGGCCCTCAGACTTGTTGGCTGGCTCCGCCAGAGTGTTATATACTTTAAAACTTTATATAAACAATGAAATCAAATAAAAAATAATTAATTGAGATTAATATAATGTTTAATTATAGTTTCTTTTAAGAATCTTAGAGTTGTATTCTTATTTTTTTTTTTTCTCATGATTTTATTAGTATGAAGATACCAATACGAATACTATATTTCCATTATTATTCTCTTATGACAACTCTTAAGGTGGCCTTCAATTATAGTTATGATCAATAATAATTTTGGCATTTAAAATTGATTTTTTTTTTTTAAAGTTGATTTAATTATTAAAGCACTATCATGGACATTTTGAATGCCCCTGATTGGTTGATTAATTGATTCATTTTTAGCTTAAAGTATATTCAATACTAGGGGTGTTCGGTTTCGGGTACCCTGCATTTTTTGAAGGAACCGGAATTGACGATTCCTTGAAATTTGGAACCAGAATCGGAACTGACGATTCCGATTCCTGGGTACCCAGAACCAGAACCTGTAACAACGGTTCCGATCCCGGTTCTGGGTACCCTGTAAAATTACATGACCTCCCAAAAGTTTTTAAAATCGTAAAAAAACCTTTAAAAACTTACAAATACTCCCCCACCTGGCACTTGTTAACAAAAATAAAATCANCCATTATTATTCTCTTATGACAACTCTTAAGGTGGCCTTCAATTATAGTTATGATCAATAATAATTTTGGCATTTAAAATTGATTTTTTTTTTTTTAAGTTGATTTAATTATTAGAACACTATCATGGACATTTTGAATGCCTCTGATTGGTTGATTAATTGATTCATTTTTAGCTTAAAGTATATTCAATACCACCTACTAGCTTATAAATTCTTGCTACTAAGAACTATACATCTTCGCCGTAACTCTAGTTTCTGGTCAGACTTCGGTAACTCTTCCTCCTCATAGCTCTCACTAAATAGTCTCTCTCAGCTTTTCTGACTTGAGCGTTGAAGTGCTTATAGCAAGCACCACACCAATGTTTTACATAAGTTTTGCGTTTTTTTCCTTTATGTGCAGGTTCAACAGATCGTTAGTGGCCTCAACCTCACAAGACCAATCCTTCTTTATAACCAAAGAATATTTTTATCGTCTACAGTTGTCCGCCTAATCCTCAGGGTCACAGAACACTCTACAAGTCAAATGAATCAAGGTAACTGTACAAATATAACAGGTGCCTACCTTGGGACTCGAACAGAAGACCCTTGGGTAAAACTAAACCCTAATGACTAAAGGGTTTGTCATCCGATCACAAAGAGAGAGGTTAAACAACTTATTTTAGATGAGCTTACTTCAAATTTTTTAATAGAAATTTTTATCACGGGAACATAATTTAAGTTGGTAAAATTTACATTAAATTTAATATTTATTTGGGTACAATTTCATCAATTTGTATTGAAGTTTCTTTATGAGAAGCAAAATCAGTTTTAAATTTTTAATAGTGACCGACAAAAATTGATTTGGGGATTGGGAAAATGGGCAAGTGTTTTTAGATTCTGGGCCTGTTTATGAAAATGATTGAGCCTAAAGGCCCAAATCAAATGGGCCTAACTCAAAATTTAAAAAAGCCCATCTTAGTTTCATAATATTTTCTTGGCATTACTTTCACTTCATCACTTTCTTATGAAATTATTGTATTATATTCATCAAGGAAAATGTTATAGATTTATCATGTACCTGAAACTTATAGGAATTGGAAAACAAACTAGAATTGGAAAACAAACTAACCCTTGGTTAGTCGAGTGGTTCGATAGGGATTTTTGGGTGTATTACTCAAGAAGTATTGAGTTCGAACCCCTCCTTGATCACTAATACGTGTAACCACTAGAACTCTTACTCAGTCGATCATTTCAGAGTTTTGAAGGATTCGTTGAGGTGTCTGTAGACTGATCTGGACAGCTCTCATCATTAAAAATAAAAATAAAAAAACTGGAAAACAGGTACCGTTCTTATAAGATCAATAATCAATGTCAGCCACAGCTTTTATAACTTTCCTTTTAGGGTAAATGAAGAAATTCCAAGTTCCAAGAACAGCCATAGATAATTGTGAAACTCCATCTCATCTCATGCATGAATGATGAACCTTTCTTATAATTTCTTTAATAATATTCCAACAGAAACCAAGAAAATACCAGATTAGTTTCAGCTTCAACTTAATTGTTGCTGGAAATGACAGTCACATGTTATCAAAGTTATAAACACATCTTCAATTCTAAGTACATTATTCTTGTCTCTGTATTATTTCTTTACTTTTCCCTATAAGAGTCCTATCCGGATCCAGCATTAATTGTTTCTTCAGCTTTATTTTTGAGCTAATTCAGCAAGATATATATATATAATATATATATATATATATATTAAGACATCTCCATACTATGTGAATTGTGAAGGATATAACTTAATAAGGGTATAGTTAAAAAAATTTCTTATTTTATAATTCATATTTTAATAGTACAATACTAAGATTTTAATTAATATTTTAATAATATTAAGGTTTCAATTCAGCGTTTCAATTGTTTATTTTTTAAACGGATAGAAGGTCATGTTTTGAAACCAACAAAGATAACTATCCTTAATAGAATTGTAAATACAGCTACTACATGACAACTGATGTGAAGCCATAGACAATTGCTAATTGTTTTAAGCATTATAAAATTAGGACCCTCAATATCGATGAATTACAAGTTACAAATGAAGTGGATGAGAAGAATCAAAAAGTCATTGTAGAATTGAGTGATCAAATTTGACAACTTT